AAATTTGTTTTGCCTGTTTTTGAAGTTGTTTTATTTTTCAAAGAAAGCAAACGCCAATTTTATTTTTTGATATGTTGTTAAGCTATAAAAGCACTATATAAACAAATTTTAAAAATTAAAAAACGTTTGGTTCTTCATAGTTAAAAATGGCGCCAAACAAAAGAAGTTTTTCATTTTTTTTACATTTTGAGCTCCGATAGCTCAAAAAATTCAATACAGATTTTAACGAAATTTTGTGATTTATTTGTGACTATAAGGTACTTCTAAAATAACAAAAAATATTTATTTATTTTGCGATAGATTTTGAGCTACGCTGTTTTGAAATCGGTGAAATTTTCAAAAAATTCATTTTTTTCTAGATTTTTTGTTCAAAATATCCTTTGATTCGAGACAATAACATTTATTTTTTTTGTTATTACATTGTTTCACTGATATGCACAAAAAATTTCATCAAGATATGTTGGCTAGTTCAAGAGATATAGCGTTCTACGTAGGTACAAGTTTTGAAAAAAATCGCTCAAAAATTTGAGGATGCTGTCACAAAAATCTTCATAACTTGAAAAATAATTGAAATTTTTTTATAAAAATTTTATTTTGTCGATGAAATACATTGAGGTACTTACTGTTCAAATTTTAAAAAAATCGGAGATGGTCGGGCGTGAACCATGGTTCAAGTTGACAGAGAATGACCCTATAATTTAACCATGTACAAATCCATTCAGATTTGAGAAAATCAAATCTACTCCTAACTTTTTATGTAAATTAATGTATTCAACTCAACTACCAGTTTTATTTGAAAACACAAATTTTAATGAACATTACTGAGAAAGTTACTGTCTAAAACTTGTGAAAATGGGTAACTTTTGGCAGATTTTTGACTGAAATCTTAACTTTGACTGAAACAAGTTTATTTGGCCAAACTGGCCAAATCCAAAACCGAACCTTTTTTTCAAAATTTTGCAATAATGATATGAGATGAAATTTTGTCTCTTTTTTTGTATTTTGATACAAGAATTTTTAAAAGTTGTCTCATTTGACTAACAATATGAGAAATCTCGTATAATATTAATCACCGAACGACTTGTATCTGCAAAAATTATAAAAGCTGGATTCATAATGAGAATAACGATATGAGACACAGATGCTTAATATTATGAATTGAACAATCAAACAAATAAAATGAATTCCTAACATTAACATTACACTAATGTTTGAAATTATTATGCAGATGATTAACATTTCATGAAAAAAATTAAAAGATGTTGTGAATTTATTATTGAAATGGTTAAGGATTGACATCTGCTGCCTTCAGAAGACCCGATGGAAATGGAATGGTGTCTGTCATGTCAACTCAACAAACAACACACGTTTAGACGACATTTTTCCCGATATCGGGGTTTGCCGTTTGGCTACCAATGATGAAACCGAAATACCCCTCGACGCCATTCACATCTGTCACTCGCCTCAGTATCACGCAACCCCGCTTTCATTCTGTCCTTCTCCACCTGCTCTCTCCATCCCAATCGCGGACCACCCCTTCCTATCACTCCTTCAACCTCGAACTCCAACGCTCTACTAATCCCGACCTTTTCATCCCTTGTCAACACATGTCCATACCACCGCAATCTCGATCTCCTTATCAATGTCACAATGTCTTCATTCAGTCCCATCATTGACATCAGCTCTGTACTACTCCTCCTATTCTTCACTTTAACTCCACACATCATCCTCACCATAGCTCTTTCAGCTCTCTGCAGTACACTTTCTTCCTCTCTCCTCAACACCCAAGTTTTACCACCATATACCATCGCTGCTCTCCCATATGCTTTATATACCCTCTCATTCATCTTTACTGACCATTTATTTCCACACAATGTCCCACCCAGTTCCCTAAATTTCATCCATCCCATCCATCCATCTTTCCATAACAGCACTCAAACATCCTCCATCCGCGTTCAGCTTAACCCCTAAATAAACAAAGCTTTCTACTCTTTCAATATCACCACTCAACCCCGTCCTTGCGTCTGTCCTATTAATCACACCATGAACACATTTCTTTCATTTGAACGTGCCTTCCACCTTTTTCATTGCCCCCCTCATACCACTACATCTCTTATGCACCCACTTTTCCAGAGTAGTGGAAAAGACTAAAAGAAAACATTAATTTTTGGAATTGATTACTAAAATTGCAATTACCAGTTTTAATCAAGTCTATGCTGAAATCACCAAGAATATAAACATTTTAGTTTGACTTTTTTTTTCAAAAATAATGAATTTAAACCATTAATAAAATTAATTAAATTATAACAAGGAGGATAATAGATAACATTACATTGGCAATTTTTAAAACCAATATTAATTACTTCAATAAATAATAACCTCAAATATGCGAGAAAAAAAGTTAAGATCATCACAAACAGCAAACTTTAAAAATTTAGAGACAAAAATTTCAACACCACCACTGATATCATTTTTATCATTTGTAATTGTTTATCCAAGCGTCCTGAAGCTATGCATAGGAATGGTATATAAAATAATAATAATTACGATTTTTATAAACAAAATTAAAACCAGATAAATTTATTTAATCAGAATTAATTTCATTCAACCAAATCTCTATAATACAAACTATAGAGAAATAATTATTGCAAATATTAACTAAAGCACCTATTTTGGACATCTTATTAAAAAGATTTCTACTATTAATATTTAACATAGAAAATAACATAGTGTCAGTGATAAAATTGTTAACATCTTCAATATTTAAAACATGTGATATGCTATGTTTATTTTAACAACATCAGCAGCAGTATAGCCATTTTTAAAAGTTGGTGCAGCACTCATGCCCTTTACCACTTCGGTGACAGGGGTGTCTAGTTTAGGTCTTCTACAGTGTTTGACTATATTAAAAATTTTTAAGCTATTGAGCTCCAGAGTTTACTCTGTTCATTTTGTTTCAATATACTTTGTGGTTTTTATTTTATTAAATTTTTTAAATATATTTTTTGTGTGATGATGCCAATATTTTACTCTCAGTCAACAGAGTGACTATCAGATAGTGACAAAGATAGGACGAGGCAAATACAGTGAAGTTTTTGAAGCTATGAATGTCGTCACTAACGAAAAATGTGTCATAAAAATATTAAAAGTGGGTATAATTTGGAATCTTTAAATTAGTTAAACAATTTGAATATAGATAGGAATATGAATTTTTTTTAAATGAATGAAACATAGGAAAAATATAAATAGTAATTTTGTAGTTTATTACATATTTGTGATGTCTTTATAATTTAACCAGCCTGTCAAGAAGAGTAAAATAAAGCGAGAAATAAAAATACTGGAAAATATAAGAAATGGGACCAACATTATCAATCTGTTAGCTGTTGTCAAGGATCCCATTGTGAGTTTACCAGTTGCTTGATTTGGAAATGCTTTCATCTATTGATTATTAAAGTATTGAAATTTGTTAACAAACTGGCTGAACAAATCCGTCAATATCAGTTTTTTCGATCGTCATCATCAACCTGGGTTTATATAATATTTATATCATGGTATTGCATATTTATAATATATTACGCATCATCATCAACCTTGATTTGAGTTGGTTACTTTGGCCACATTATTTCTATTTTTAGGTGTGATTGTTACTTGTTACTAGTTACATCATAGCAAAAATGTAATTTCTGTCATTTACATCAATCACACTTTTTAATATATTTATTGCTATATTTTTCTTTTTGTTTATGTTATAAATAAATGCATCTTAGCATAATAAATAAATAATCATTTGTTAGCACTTTTATTATTATTCCATCATTATTGATATACAGTCTAGAACACCAGCACTGATTTTTGAATACATTAACAATACAGATTTCAAGGTTTGTATAATTTCATAAATTTGTGTCTGTGTGCGTTAATGGCTGTCTTTTTTTATTATTTAAAATCGGAATCTGACAGATTATTCAACATCATAGAATCACTCATCATCTCACACATCAAGAAGGCAGCCCCTTCCCGGTCTGGCATCACTATACAATAACTTCAGCATTGAAATACTTGAGACACAGCTAATTATGGTTCGGATACAAAATCACTTTTGTGCGTTGTTATCTCAAAACAAAATGCAAACGTAAATACATGATCTGCAGTAAAACTGAACATTTATTTTTGAAACTTGTTATTTTACCGTGCTTTTACTCATCTAATTGTTACGATAAGTAAAAACGATGTTTTAGCACTGTTCTGTTATATCCTCTTCTGTTTTATCCTGTTCCATTTTATCCTAATCAATCAATCAATCTTCGTTTAGCGTCCAGAGACCCAGTTTTCCGAGGTAGGACGTTGTTTGCCATCAACTTTTTGCGCCAAATTAGACGATCACTTGTATCCATTTCATTTAAATTTAGAGTTTTCATGTCTTGCTCGATTGTTTGCGCCAAATTAGACGATCACTTGTATCCATTTCATTTAAATTTAGAGCTTTCATGTCTTGCTCGATTGTTTGCGACCAGGACTTCTTTGGACGGTCTATATGACGTGTGCCAGGTACTTCAACATCTGCAAGAGAAGTTATGGCACTGTTTCCTTTCGTTTGACATGACCAAACCACCGCAGACGTTGATGCCGGCATTCGTCCTTTATATCATCTAAACCAGCACGACGCAGGATTTCGGTAGATTTGATGTGGTCCTTCAGACTAATTCGTTGCATCCATCGAAGCATTTTCATGTCGGTTCGTTGAAGTTGTTGGTCCAGTTTGGTTGTCATTGGCCATGTTTTTGCACCATATAACATCACCGGACGTATCACAGATTTATAAAGTCTTGATCGTAGTGGTAGTGGGATGTCACGCCGCATCAATATAGAGGCAAGGAGATGCCATTTATTCCAGGCTGCACGTATGTGTGCTCGAACGGCAGCTTCAGCTGTTCCAGTACAATCCAGAACATCCCCTAGACATTGAAACGATGTGACTTTCTCTACCTTAATGGCTTCAAAAACAGTGCTATTTCAAATTTGTTGTTGTGGATTGATGCAAGCAGGACAAACAAAATCAGACACTTTAGATAAAGTACCAATTATTTTTGAACAACTTTTGTGACACCACTGGTTACACTGCTGACACTTGATTGAATGGTTACCTACACCAGCTTTACAAACTGAACAGGGCCATCGTCCAGTAGCTGTGGATTGGATGGGTTAACCAGTGTTCGTTGCTTTGGTTTTGCTGATGTTGACTTTGAATCCATGATCGGCGAGTCTGGTGTTCCAATTTTCAAACATCTGTGCTGCATTCTGCTCAGACGAGGCTGTTAAAACGATACCATCAGCATATATTAGATTCCAAATGTCACCAGTGCGTATCGGTTTTGTGATTTCTTCCATCACAGTTATAAATAACAGTGGACGAGAATCGAGCCTTGGTAAACTCCAACTCCGATGTCAAATGCATCTGTGTTTCCAACCGTTGTGCTGACAAGAGTCTTAGTATTCGTAGACATTTCCTTCACAAGTCGAACAATATTCTGGAATGAGTTGTCAACGTAGACTCCACCTGCACCTGTTGTTTTCTCGGGGAACTCGATCAAATGCTTTTTCAAGGTCTACAAAAATGTGTGATAGTTGTTGATGCTTTGTGAGGTACTTTTCTTGCAGTTGCTGAAGGATGTGAATTGCATCAATTGTTGATTTTCCTGCTAAGAAACCAATTTGATAATTTCCGATTGGGAGGCACGACATTAATCTTCTGTCAATGATTTTCTCGACAATTTTCAGGGAGTGTTCTAATAGACGTATACCCCAATATGATAAACAGTTCAATGGATCACCTTTACCTTCGTATAGCTTTACCTTACCTTTACCTTTACCGGGACTGTCATGCTATAGTTCCATTCAGTCGGCATTGAGAAATTTCTCCACACGTCACAGTAAAGTTGTAGTAACGTTTGGATATCTGCAGTACCAGATGCTTTGATAATGTCATTTGTGAGTCCAGAGGGCCCTGCTGCCTTTCCATCCTTCATAGCTTTCAGAGCTTCTGTAAGCTCCTCTTCAGTGATGTCTGGAATCGGACCTTCTATTTTATCCTATTCTGTTTTATCCTTTCTGTTTTATCTTGTACTGTTAACATTAAAGTTTAAATTTCAGTCGTTTTAAAGCCATGAACCCAGGTTTTTGTTATGATTTGTTGTAAGTCCAAGTTTAAAATACCGAGCGCGAGCACCTTAAGTCCTTAATTTAAGGTGTCTATGAAATATAGCAAAGATAACAAATATAAAAATAATTGAAATTATTTATTTAGTGGATATAACATTATTTTAAATGGTAATCTTTTAAAGAGGCAAATAATATTTAAAATGAATATTTATAAAGAATTTAAAAATTTTATTTAAAATGAAAAGGCAAAAACACTTGCAAGTTGCAAGTCTTTATAGTACAACATCCAGAGTAGTTTATATACAATACATTGATTTCAAATTTCGTAATGGAAAAAACTAGACGTAAAGTTAAAAAAGGATATGATGTCATTTGCACTAGTAGATGCAAAGTTTGAAAATCTTTTACAATTTTTAGATAGTTTTTAGGAACATTTTTGGCATCTTGTGTACGTTATAAACAATTTTATTTATTAGAGTTTGCACAAATAAAAAGAACGTGCACTTTTGCAACAATTATTGTAGACAGACTAAATAAATCAATAAATAGATAATAAATGATTTGAGAAAAGTATTCTTTAAATAAAGTTAGATGTTCATCGCTTGTTTATTATTGTTCCAATGTTATTTTCTTATAACAGCAGCTCTACCAAACCTTCTCAGATTTTGATGTGCGCTACTATACGTTGGAAACTATAAAGGTATTGATTTAAAAAAGTAATAATGATGATGATAATGATTATAATATGGTAGCGATGATTGATAATTTGTATGGCATTATTGATGATATGACTAATAACTGCAATTATTATATTATTGGTAATGATCAAAATAGGCATTAGACTTTTGCCACAGTATGGGAATTATGCACAGAGATGTCAAACCACACAATATCATGATTGATCATGAAAATAGAAAGGTATGCTTTGTGATTTGAGTAAAGTATTTTTTAAATCTTTTAACACTCGTGCAAAAGTTATCATAAATACTATGACCACCTAGTTCAGTTATAAAACTAGAATTTATTTATCTAATCACTAAACATCTATCTTCAAAGTTAAGATTGATTGATTGGGGCTTAGCAGAGTTCTATCATCCAGGACAAGAATACAATGTCAGAGTGGCCTCCAGATACTTTAAGGGACCAGAATTGTTGCTTGATTATCAGGTTGGCATGCTGGATGAATTGTTTTGTTTTTCTGATGACAATTTTCCAATAAATTCAAGTTTAAAATAATTATAAAAGCTAACCAAACAGCGTCTCAACAAAATAATCTCCTTATCACCCTTAATTTTATAAATAATAATTAATGGTAGTTTTTATAACAAACTTTTTTTAAAAAACATACATTTTTCTAGTGATAATAATAAAAATGAACAAAAGCTGAGAACAAACTACACACTTTATAGATGTGGAATAAATATTTTTTCATTGAAATATTGTTTTAAAAGTTGGATGGCAAATTTGGAAAATTTTCAAATATGATTATATAAATCTGTTATATAAGTTTTTACATACATACTTACTGACGCCTATTTATAAAAGAATCTCTGATATTCAACATGCTAATTTACGAATGCGTTAGAGCAGTGTTTCACAACATATCACGCACTCCACTTTCGGCAATTTCATTCTTGGGTAGAGCAATTTAGAATGTATAGACTGATACATGATTCAAGCGTGATGGTTTACTAAAATTTAAACAAATTGTTAAATGCATGTTAAGTGGTTCGTCTGATAGAATCTAATTACTGACAAAAATTATTAATTTTTATTAAAAAGGTGATTAATTCTAACCTAAAATTTTCCGTGCAGTTTCCAATTTTTTTTTTATATAAAAACCAGTTTAAATTTTTTTTTCCTCTGTTAAAATCAAGGAATTAGATTATTAAATGGTGCAATGCCGTTTTTTTTATGTTAAAAATACGAGACATAAGTTACATAACTTTGAGGGCTATGGAATTTTTTAAGAGGGCTGGAGACATGACAGATAAAAGGTTGGAAAATACTGTTTAGATGTTTTATTTTCATAATCCTATAAAAGTGTTTTTTTTTCAGTTTTATCCACTGATTAAAATAGCGTGGTGCAAGTAGGACTAGCTAACGTTCCGCGAGCCGTCACAACCAGCAATTTAAATTTTTTTTTAAATTTTATGTTGATTTAGCTAGTTTAGTATGTCAACTACTTAAATCTATAATAGCAACCATTTAAAACTACCAGTTTTTCTATGTTTTATAAGTCATAAAAACCTCTATCAACAATGATTAAAGTAAATTGTATATACCAGGGTTGTTAATAGCGGAGTAGCGGTAGCAGCGCCACATTCATTCAACAGTAGCGATTTTGGTAACGGCGCTACATTTTTAGCTAAAGGAAAACCATCACCGCTACTTTTGTGTCAAAAATTTCTAATGACCACAAGTGTGTGTGTATGTGTCGACCACATGTTTGCGTATATATATATTTTATGATATATAAAATCTCTTTATGGCTCTATTGATAGCACGTGGTTATCTTTTTTTGTTAACTCACACGTGTGTGTGTGTGTGTGTGTGTATCTTTACACTTCGATGACATGTGTACGTGTGTATATGCATATATTATGGTAAAGGACTACCGAAAAAAGCTTTTTCTGTATTCTATAAAAATGAATAAAAAAAATAGTTGAAAACTTTGTTTTCTATATAAATAAGTTAAAAAACGATGATAAAAATATGAAACAAAATATCGAAAAATTGAACCAGAAACTGATCAAAACTGAAAATGTAGTGATATTTCTTAACAATTGTATCTACTTTTGAGGATTTATTGTCATAGGATGAGCATCTGGTTGACTTTCTTATGTAATTGCTTACCATTTTCAATCTTAAAAATATATTTAATTTTTTTAAGTTTATTATAACTAATGATATATGTTAAATATTATTTTATTATAAAATAAAACAAAGAATATAATTTACAATATTTGTTTACAATAATGATTGTTCAAAAATGTTTTTCAATGGAAATATCTAAAATTTAGCAAATAGTTAAATCAACATAAAGCAGGCATATTGCCCCGTAAAATTCAAGGCCTTTTGCTTGATCGGATAGTGCGAAGATATTTAATTTACACATAATGTCGTTTTTTTCAATCTTTTAAAATGACTTTTATTTCACAAAGACCATTTCTATTCACAAGCAATTGCTATGTTATGATGAATTTTGATGGAAATTGACGCCTAAAATTTATGACAAGAATTATTTTTTACCTACGAATTCTAGAAATTTTTTAAGAAAGATCCCAAAGAAGTCAAAATAACGCGGTCTTTTATTTTAATTAATGTGGGTGCGTTCTATTTAAGAAAATATTTTAAAAAGTTAGAAATTTCGGTTCTAAACAACTTTGGTAAAAATTAAATAGAGGCTTCATGCTCCACAGGGTGTTTTGCCTCATGCTACCCTACTTTTTATAAAATAAATTATTCTGCAAAATTCACAAATGCTGTTAGTGTTGAGGAAACAAGCTGCTGTCTCTTATATTGAAAGGAAGTTTGATAGTTTTAGTACATGCTAGATGTTATGCTTACATCTAACCTGATTACAACTCATTTTTTGCACAGGACAAAATTTTTAAAGTTGATATTTTAGCCACTGAAATATTTATGAAAATTAATTAAATGCTTTAACAGCTAAAATGTAAAAAATGCAAATTTCATTTTATATGTAAAGCTAAATAAGCACAATATTTGTATGCGGCGGCGTGATGGCTCAATGGTTAAAGACGCCTGGTCTTGCTATTGCAATGACTGTTCGAATACAAAGAGATCCCCGCCTATCATATGCAATGTGTATGATGCGTGGTTTGCACGCGTATTCATATACGCTGTGTGTGTTTATCGTTGAAACCTCTGAAGCAAACGCTAAAAAGAGAGATTAACCTTTAACCTTTTGTCCGCCAATTCATGATTTTATCAATTCAAATTATTCTTATCATTTATGTAAACTTATCACTACTTACCAGATGTATGATTACTCCTTAGACATGTGGAGTCTTGGTTGCATGTTTGCTAGTATGATCTTCAAAAAAGAACCATTTTTTCATGGGCATGATAACTATGATCAGGTTGAATAATTGATAGATGGATGTGTGATTATTTATTTGTCTAGTAAAATTCATTGATTTTATAATAAACTTTTAACGATAGTAGCAATATTTCAACTACGTTGTAAAAACGTTAATACAGCAGCATCATGCTGTATTAACATGGCATTGTTATTAATGCAGCCATTATAAAAATATGTAACGGAAAACTAGAGTGAATTATCATTAACAAAAATTTTACAAAAACTCTTGAAATACTACTTCATTAATAACCTTAACATTATTGTGATGCAACATTGCTGTAGAATATATTAATTCAACAATATCGCAATAACGTCATTGCAATAAATTCAACTTTCTTAATGTTATTGTTACTCTAGCTGGTCCGCATATCAAAAGTTTTGGGCACAGATGAATTATTTGAATACATAGATAAATATCAAATTGTCTTGGATCCAAGATTCAACAACATACTAGGAAGGTTGGCGTTTTTCGTCACAAATTTGGTTGTGTTGATTTATAGCTAAAATTAATTGCTTTTCAAGCTAAAACGAATCAGTCAACATTTTAAAAAATCAACTGAACAGTTCAGGTAGAATTGTAAATTTTTAATAGCTTGGAGAAAAGTAAATTTTTTAATGCATTCAATAGGAAAATTCTATTTTATGTCTTAGATATATTTGCAAATGTTAACTATGTTTATAGGTGCAATATTTTTTGCAAGTGGAATTAAACAATTGTAACTAACAAGAAAAATAAGTTCTATATTTATTATAAGAAAGAAAACATTCAAAATGTGTCTTAAAAGTCAACATTGTATAAATGGGAATCAATCAATATTAATAAAGAATTCAAGCAAGCTAACGAACAGAGAAATCTGTCCTGGTTATGACATTAAACTGACCCTCACTGCCTTTTGAGTGATGTTGGATCATCAAAGGCTAGGCCCACCGCTTATAACTGGTTGCGTAAGGAAGGGCGTCCTGCGTAAAAATTAGCCAAATAAATTACTCATGATGACAGAAGTGACAATGGCCCTCAGTATCCGGCAGAATGTCGTCGAGGGGTATTTCGGTTTCATCATAGGTAGACAAACGGCAACCCCCGATCTCGGGGGAAATGTCGTCTAAACGTGTGTTGTTGTTGTTAACGAACGGAGAAATGCAAACATTTGGTGATGTAGCTAGGCCGCAGGAATGACATGCTTTGCGTTGTTTTTATAAGGGATTTCTACAAAATTTTAGAGGGTATACTTTTTCTTTCTATGTACTTGCTTTCTGTCATAAAACTTAACTAACTTCTAATGCTCCTAGCCGGTTGAATTTTTTAGTGACAGACGTATTTTGGGATGTTGTATCTGACATGAGCATGAACTAATTAGCAGATTTATAAATGAATAAATTAAATCAACTAATTAAATAATTGAATTAACAAATAAAATGCATAAATAGATGCTCTGGCGAATAAATTTTATAATTCATGTTATTGAAAAAACGGCGTGATATAGTTTGTGATGTTTCTTAAGCTAAAACGCTCTGATGAAGTAATGCTAGGTTTTCAAATTTCACAATAATGTAAGAAATATATTATTATTGTTCGGTATATTTTAAAACATAAATTTAAAATGATTTTACAAAGCAAAACAGCAAAGCAACTGCTTTCCATTGTTTTTTAAGTATCTTTTATTTAGTAGTAAAGTTTAATTAAAATTGTAATGCAAAAGTATAAATATTTTTCATGGATTCGGGAGTCGGAAATTTTTTAATCAATGTATCAGTATCGGACATATTTTTTATCTGACTATGATACCCTGCATCAGAAAAGAAAAAAGTTAACTTATTTTAAATACCTTTTCTTTATTAATCGTTAAGGGAGAATTTCCTGGCACTTATGGAATGTGCTTATTATTTATATTTTATAAACATAATAATTGTTTAACTAAAATTAATTTGCTAAATCTTATGTTTTTATATGTTTTAAGACGAAGCTGAGTAGTTAATAACACTGCTCCCATCTTTTTAACTGAAAGTACATGAAAATGTATTTGGTCGTTTAACATTTAAAGAATTTTCAATCAATCATCAATCAATCGATCTATCTCGTCCATGCAGACATTCTCGTAAGAGATTAGAAAGATTCGTGAACAGTGAAAATCAACATCTTGTCAGCCAAGAAGCGTTAGATTTTCTTGATAAGTTGCTCAGGTTTTTTTTGTTATTGTTGCCTAGTCAATATTTTGTCGTTTTAGCCTTAATGATTTTATGTTTAAAAATTTATGTTACCAATATTATTTACTGATTAGTAATTTATTATTATTGGGGACGTTGAACGATTTAAAGTTTGTTTATGACGTACATTTTGTGAAAGTTGGCAATGATAAAATAATTTCTGCTGAAACGTTACTAACGCTCCTGATGACTACGAAATGTCCTACATGCCTATTGGAATTCAGATCTATGAACGCCAAGAATGGAGATGCTAAAGGCAAGTGGTTCAACAAACATTCAACGCAAAAAGTCAGATGTTAATAATTACCTGTGTATGCGGTAAAACATGTAAAGGTAGAACAGGTTTAGAGGTTTGAAAACTCCCAAAGGCACATGCCAGGTTCACAAATTACTGCCGAACGGTTACGCTCTAGACCCTTCCAACGAACATTCAATAAAAATACATGATGCGGGTCTAATAACAAATATAAATGTATCAACGCTAGCAAATAAAGTTAGATCACCATAAAACCCGGTTTAAAATTGCCTAGATCCATGGATGAATGGCCAATGCATATTTTCAGTCAACATTTGAATTCTCAACTCCAATAATAGATTTGAACAATTATTACTACAATTAGTTACTGTAAATAATATAAATATTTTCCTCAATAGTAAAAGAAAAAATCTTCTCAATTTTCTTTTTATTCTTTAAAAAATCTGAATCTGACAGATGCAGAAACTGTTGCAGCATGCATGGCAATAGTATAAAATAATAATGAAAAAAATAATGGATAAAAAATGTTTAAGCATAAAAAGTATAGAAAATAAAATAAAGTAATAGTTTAAAAAAGCAATTAATAAATTAATTAACTAGTTAACTAGCAATCGACTAGTTAATGACTTAGTGAGTTAGTGAAGTTATCGTTAAGAAAAAGAAAACTAAATTGAGTAAATGATACAGTTGTATTGGTGCTTATATAATTAAGGTGTCACGTGATGAAAGTCTTATCCTGATATGTTGATTGAATGACAACTTGATAGTTATGCTTGCGTTGACGAAGGTTGTGTGTAGTAGTTTTGGTTGGTTGTAGTTATCTACTTTTTTGAACAGTCCTGAGTGACGGTAGGATATGATGCAGGTAAATAGTTGAAACGAATTAGTTTTTTGATGAAAGATTGTAGTTGTTGAAGTTGTTGTGTAACAAACCAGACTAGGAGGGAGCTGCATATTTGACGTGTATGATGATGAGTGATTCAGTGATGTTAAATAATAATTTGCTGTCTTTGAGACCATGTGAGCGAAGTGTTTTAAGCGCGTGAAATGTAAGAAAGTCTTTTGTGGTGATGTGATTAATATGAGGTGCTACATTAAGTGTTGAAGTGAGTGTGCTGCCTAATATTTTTAATTGATTCGTGTGGATGATTGATGGATGCTCTGGAGGTAATGCTATTATCTTACGACTATTGTGAATGAGTTCGAATGATGTATTGTAAATTAGGTTAAGTGACAGATTGCAGTGCTTTGACTATGTGGTTAATGAGTCGAGTTATGATTGGATGGTGTTAGGTATGTGTCGTCAGCATATTTAATGGCTTGATTAGATGATTTGATTAGAGTTTTGAAAGTAGAAGCATTGATGATAAAGGGGTAGATGGTCCAAGGACAGAACCTTGAACTACACTAGAATTAATAGGTAAGGTAGATGAAAGAGTAGAGCTAAAAAAGTGGAATGACTCCTATTAGAAGGAAAATTTTGATCCAGACGGGTTCTGATGGACGTGAGTAATCAAAAATGATTCTGGCCAAATATCGATGATGTCAACTAACATTCAAATTACTAAGCTTTCTTATCTTATCAAGGATGCTAAAAAACATTGCCGAAATTTATTAATTATATTGTTTATCTTAAAAATCCCTTTGGAGAAGTTCATCATGATCTGACCTTTCATCACCTTCCAGAGTGTTTTTTGCAGATTTTTTTTACAACGTTTATGCACTATTTGAAATTTCTGTTGATGTAAATGGCGAATGGACTCAACCAATCAAAATTTGCAAAGGCGTCTCACAGGGTAATTCACGGTCACCGCTATTGTTCAACTTGTGTTTCAACGCGTTAATGGAAACTACAAAAGCCAAAATTGATAAATTTGGGTTACATGTGTGAACCTGGCAAACGTAACTGGTTACAATTTGCAGACGGTGCAGAAGATGTATTAAATGGCGTCTATATTAGATATATAGATAATATATATGTATCAATGTAAGTAATTCTTTGTATGTCAGAACTGGAATAATAAAGACTAAAAAAAGACGCGCAGAAGTTGACAAAAATATTCTCTGCTTGGTGTCATTGGCTAAGTTGATAATCAGATTAGCGGACATTCAGTATGCAACTCATTTGGTATAACGAAAGTCAATAACAAATATACGCAAATCGAACCTGCCATCTGTCTAAAAAATGAAAAATTAACTCCAATAAAAATTAACGTCTTTCACCAGAAGCCAGAATTTATTGATAAATTTGGGTTACATGTGTGAACTGGGCAAACGTAACTGGTTACAATTTGCAGACGATATAGTAGTTGTATTAAATGGTATCTAAAACGCGCAAAAGTTGACAATAACATTCTCTGCTTGGTGTCAATAGCTAAGTTGATAATCAGATTAGATAAATGCAACTCATTTGGTATAATGAAAGTCAATAACAAATATACGCAAATCGAACCTGCCATCTATCTAAAAAATGAAAAAATAACTTCAACAAAAATTAACGTCTTTCACCTACTTAGGAAAAATAGATTATTTAAAAATTGGTAACCAGGTCACCAAAGCCTAAGTAAAAGAAAAACTTGAACTGTTACTAAATATTACATCCGGTTTGAACATTAAAGTTCAGATGAAACAAAAAAATATTCTGACTATACATTCTTTCACAAACTTTAAGATAGTTTAGATATTCCAACTTTCAAAATGATATCAGAACAATTTAGGATGTCTAAACACTTTTCGATGAGAAACTGCAGTCATGAGTTTTTATTAAAGATGTATGTTCCGACACCAACGCTAAAATATAAGAATTGATGAATGAATGATAAAAAATGACTATGTAAATTGTTAAATAATCAATCTTCGTTTTGCGTCCAGAGACCTGGTTTCCCGAGGTAGGACGTTGTTTTCTTTGCCATCAACTTTTTGCGCCAAATTAGGCGATCAGTTGTATCCATTTCATTTAAATTTAGAGTTTTCATGTCTTGCTCGATTGTTTGCGACCAGGACTTCTTTGGACGGCCTTTGGGACGTGTGCCAGGTACTTCAACATAGGCAAAGAGAAGTTATGGCACTGTTTCCACTTCGCTTGACATGACCAAACCACCGCAGACGGTGTTGCCGGCATTCGTCCTTTATATCATCTAAACCAGCACGACGCAGGATTTCGGTAGATTTGATGTGGTCCTTCAGACTAATTCGTTGCATCCATCGGAGCATTTTCATGTCGGTTCGTTGAAGTTGTTGTTCCAGTTTGGTTGTCATTGGCCATGTTTCTGCACCATATAACGACACCGGACGTATCACAGATTTATAAAGTTTTGATCGTAGTGGTAGTGGGATGTCACGCCGCATCAATATAGAGGCAAGAAGATGCCATTTATTCCAGGCTGCACGTATTCGTGCTCGAACGGCAACTTCAGCTGTTCCAGTACAATCCAAAACATCCCCTAGATATTGAAACGATGTGACTTTCTCTATTTTAATGGCTTCAAAAACAGTGCTATTTCGAATTTGTTTGTTGTGGATTGATGCAAGCAGGACAAACAAAATTGGACACTTTAGATAAAGAACCAATTATTTTTGAACAGCGTTTGTGACACCACTGGTTACACTGCTGACACTTGATTGAATGGTTACCTATACCAGCTTTACAAACTGAACAGGGCCATCGTCCAGTAGCTGTGGATTGAATGGGTTCACCAGTGTTCATTGCTTTGTAAATTGTTAAAAACTGAACATTTAAACAGAGTCAAAAAAACATTTTTTCGAATTAAATACTGAAAGTTTGGTAATGAAAAAAAACTGTCCTACGCCATATATCAAATTCCAATATTCTTCCTCCATGATCTCAGAATTATGGAATATCTACCCGAATCTATCTTCAAATTTGCCAAACAAGCCATCTACCACAGCTTCTTATGGCTACAAACCTGGCATAATGCAAGCAAATCCACAGTGCAAACTTTGCGGCTCTGATAGACCACAGAAAAACGAATACTTTCTTTCAAGTTGTAAATCACAGATAGCTTTAAATAGATACACGAAACTCATACGTAACTCCGTTGATTAGTTGTAATTTGTTAAAAAGTCAAATCAAAACCTGTTTGCAGATGTAATGATGACTGAAGTTAAACCAATCTTAGATATTTTTAAACCATCATATCGTCCGGACATTGACATAACGGAAAATAGAAACGTGTACGTACTGGAACTCACAATTTGCCACAAGACTAATCTTTTAAAAAGCAAGCAATACAAAGTTAACAAATACAAAGATTTATATGTCAAATTACTCAAGAAATATAACGATTTCATTGTCAAAATCTTTTTCTGGAAAGTATCCACGCTTAGCTTCGTCTCCGATCTCAAAGAACTGATAACATGCCTTAAGCTACCACCATTGCCAGATAATACATTCAATAAATTAATGAGGAGCGCTATAATTCAAATTTTTCATATGAAGATGCTAAATAAACATTTCATGAGTCTTCATAATGATGTAACTATTTTCTCTTTCCTTATTAACGGATTTATTTTCTGTTCATAATGTCGATCTTTACAAATAACGGAAGTTTCCAATTACTAATTATTAATTAGCAATATTAATGATTTCAGATATGATCACCAACAGCGACTAACGGCTCAAGAAGCTATGAAACACCCATATTTCTGTATGTATGTTGTGGAATTGTATAGTGAATAATAATAATAATTGCGTCCTTAATGCTCGTAGATGTTTTAAAATGTTGATGGCTATTTATGATGATGATTGTTTTGATTATTTGTGTAATGAATATTTATTACAAACTGTACTAGCACATCATAGAACCCACCTCGGCCCGTAATTTACTTGTACGGCATTGCATTGCTTTTATTATTTCATGTCACTCAATTATTTTGATTATGCCTTTTTATTCTCAATTTTATTTCAAATTTTTGTCTATTTCCAATTCTTTAAATATTCTGTTTTCCAAATCTTCCAACTAAATTATATTAATTTTAGTTAAGCAAATGACTCCACTTAACTTCATATAATGACTACCAATGTATCGGATGAAAAATATCCGACTTCGACTCCGGCCCCTCATAAAACCCGGTTCTGACTCTGGGTTCCGAATTCCAGAAAAAATTTTCATCTTTTGCAATTTAATTTTACCTTATTATCCTACTAAATGAAAAATACTTAAAAAAACACTTAATTGTAATTGTTTTTCATAGTAAAATTAATTTACTTTTATACTTTAAAACATGCTGAAAAAATTTTCATTTTTTGCATCATAATTTCACCTTATTATAACTACTAAATAAATAATACTTTAAACAGATACTTGAAATCAGTCAATGTAATTGTGTTTCTTAATGAAATAAATTTATTTTAATGTTTTAAAACATACTGGAAAAAATTATATGGTTTTATTCACATTATTAGCATTTATTTTCAGTATTGCTAAATATCGCTAAATATATTTATTCTCCAAAAAACACAATATTGATACAAATTTTCTGGAAAGAAAATAAAAATTTTTTTAAATCAAATAACATTTTTTGGACAAAAAATCCGACTCTGGCTCCTACAAAAATCCGAGTCCGGGCTCACAAAAATTCCGACTCCGGCAAAAATCTCCGACACTGATGAATACAACCACACAAACATTTTAATTAAATCAGTTACAAATAAGATTTATCATAATGTTTTTCTTTTCATCTGCACACTGTATCAGTTTATAAATTGATGTCATTCTGCCACTAGTGAACTCGGATACCAATGCAACAGTTATAAAAACCAGGCAAATGAACAAACGACAGTCCATTCAAAAATAATTGAATCTTAAATTACACCACTTTGAAACGTTTGCTTATTTGAATTTGCAGATCCAGTCTTAGAAAATGTGAATAATAGAGGGGCAGGTGATTTCAACCCACTGAGTAGTGCGCAAGTCAATGGAGTTACTGGTTAGTGAGATATTTGCTGTTAATGCAGAGTCGGCTTTAGGTTAGGCATAGGAAAACTAGGCAGTCGCCTAGGGCCTCCAAAGGGGCCTTGCAATGCAAATTAAAACAGTTTTTTTTTTAAATCCTTCGATGAATTAATTTTATGTACCTAATTGTTTTATTTTTAATTGATCACAGTACTATGTAGCAAGAATTTATCATTTATCATGAAATTTTTTAAATGTGCAAAATTTTGTTGTGCACATTTAAAATAAAGTTACTTAGGGCCACCAAATTTTATTTGCTTAAGGCCTCCTACTACCTGAGGCCGACTCTGGTTAATGTGTATATGCATGTTTTTCTAATCTTTATGTATTTATTTATATAACGTTAAAACTGAAAAAAGAGTTAACATGACACACGTTGCTATGTGCATCGTGCATCGATAACAGAATTTAACGAGGAGAAAAATAAAAAAATAGATCTTGCAAATAAATTATTGAAACTTTAATCAATTTCATTTTTCAATTTCCCTGAGTATTTCTGAGGTATCAACAACAAAGGGGACATTTAAATTCCATGCGTTGCATATTTATTGCATGTGATCGGGAAAAAGTGGTTTAAACTCACTAAGTAGTAGCAGTTTACAGTCGAACCCAGCTACTGCAACAGTGCCATGCATCGTAACCATTACTTCATCTCGCCATCCAATGCATAAACAGAAACATGATCGAGCAGCCAAGATAGTGACTAGGCGTTAGTTGTATATATTAGTTGTATATAAACAAGAAAGGCAACGTTTGAGCACTTTCGGCTTTAGTGCTTATTGTTTAGTTTTCCTTTAGTAAAAGATTTCGATCTTAACTTACTTTTTAAAGTTTTATTTTAAGTTTTTATAAAATTTGCTAATTAGTTTGAATATTTAAGTGCCATAAAATGGCATAACGCATATAAACGTTCCTTAATTATTATCACTTTATCTAATGAATTATAAAATAAATTTTCATTCACAGCCCCATTGTGAAGAAAGAAGACATCGAACGTACTGAACGTCATTGAATTTGAATGCAAACATTAAGCTACTTTGCATTGAAAATATTTATTAAATGTTATAACTGATTTGTGATGATGTTAGTAAAATTAACATCGTTGACAATACGGCTGTTATAACTATAATGATCATTTTTAAAATATTAATACAAATTACTTTGGTAATGAAAAACACGTGTTTTGTCAAACTTTTAGCTAACTAGGTACCTTTAATTTTGTTTTAATTTTCTTATTGATTGTGTCATTCATTATAATTATTTATTTTATTATTATTAGTATTGTTATTATTATGATTATTGTTATCATCATCACCCTTTTCATCAAACTTCCTTAGAACATCATTGTGTGTGTATGTATGCATGTGTGTATGTATGTACGGTGTGTGTATGCTTGTATATATATATGTATATATAATATATATATATATATATATCACTGAAGGATATGATGATCGGTACACTTAAGAAATTTTGTGTTGTAAAATGTGTTTTGTCTAATTGATATGTCAATACGGTAGCCGGAAAAATAAGCACACATCAACGTGAGCTACACACAGGAATGTAGACATAGGTAATCGCACACGTCTAACTGCCAACCTAACCCTAACCGCATTCATTAATATTAAATATACACTTACACGGTAGATACGTTCAAAAATTTAAAATTTTCATGTCAACACCGTGTAAATCGAAAAGCTTGCATAAAATGCTTAGTTTTGCTATTTAACAGTTGTGATTTTTTTCAATATTTTTAGGTGTACATGTACACAGAAATAAAAATAAAATGCATTGACTGGTTAAAGTATGTAATATATTACGGAAACACTTTTTTTTTTATTTAATTACAATACATTAAACAGAGGAACAAAAAATAAAACCAAAGGTGTTTTATTACAATTCATCACTGTTAGAAATTGCTCTCATTCTTTTTTTCGGAATCGAAGGTTCGAATTCACTTTCATCACTCGAAGTTATTTGTGCCGATTCAATGTTTGAAGCAGAAATATTTACATTATGAGAGATGGTAATAAAATCGGTTATTAACAATTGCTTCGAATTTTTTATAAGATCTTTGTTAACTTCTTCATATTGAGTCAAGCAAGCACGTGTTCAATCACAGTAGCATTTAGTAGAGTGCAATAAAACAAAAAAAACTTATTTGGAAAACCGTGTAAAAGCGAAAACGTAAAAAACAAGTGCCGTGTAAATCGGGGGATAGGTGTATAAGGAAAAGGATAAAAATAGATTGAGTGTCAATCGCCGAGAAAATTTGTTTATATTTTCTATATGTGCTTATTTCGATGTGCGCTTTTTACTATGTGCGCTAGAAGTAGGACCGTGGGTTGTCAGTAGATCCACTCATCGATCTATAATTACCGCAAAAGAAACTATTGCTATTTGCTAATTTGATTTTTTCCCTTTGCATTCGTCTAGGTTGTAAGGGCCGCGTGATGGTCCAATGGGTAAGGTCGCCTAGTGCTGTTTCGCAGTAACCGGTTTTGAATATGACAAAGATCCCCGCCTATCACATGCTCGAGTGTGATGCGTCGTTTAGCATGTATTCATATACGATGTTTGTGCGCTTTGTTGAACCCTCTGGTTTTTGGAGGAGTGTAATTGACCTTTAAACTTGACCTGAGTGAGGTTTTTCGTCTATGTAAGTTTTATGTCTGCGTGGAAATGTGTGGTTATGTACTTGTGCCATATATATAGAATATAGCTAACATATATTGGAAATTCCTTATTATTGTGTGACGGGGCCGTAATAATTTTATATTCGTTGATGATTTTTTGAAACACATGTTTCGTTTATTTTATGACCAATATTAATTCAATTATAAAAATTGCTTGGAGGATCAAAAATATTTATTAACGTACAAGTTGTCGCAGGATCACTTAGTTAGAATTATTTTTTTATAGCTGTCTTCAGAAGTGGTATGCATATTAAATTAAATCTAATATATAACGAAAAGATATTTGGCAAGATGTTGTTTCTTGCCAGAGAATTCAGGTAATGTCATCAACTTTGATGAGGCCAATTTTGTGTTACCAGATGTGAATATTTTCAAAAAGCCTACTTGTGAATAGAAATATATCTAGTGAGGCTTTTGATAAAATTGAAAAGTAAGTTTTTTATTTCTACTTATTTTGGTTTGGGCAAAATATTATATTGGTACTGGAAAATTCCATTCAAGTAGATAAAAATATAAATATTTTAAAAATTTAAATTTGTTTTTCATTTCAAAATAAGTTTTAATAATAAATATTTTAAAAACAGCTTGCGTTCATTAGTTTTAAAATATAATATAATGTTAATCTATTTCATTATTAAAATAAATCATGATCAATCAATCAAATTAATTTTTATACTAGTAGTAGTAGCAGTAATGCTGTTCTGGGGGTTTTCCAGAGAGCATGATGTCAGGCATGCTAGCACAGCTGATTCGTTGATTAATTGTTGTTTATCCAACAATCAATGCCTGCTTTAAATTTGTTCATTGATTGTGCTTCCTCAACAAGTTCATTTGGTAACGAGTTCCAAGTGTTTGTGACTCTAATGAATAAGTAGTTCTCTCTGCCTCAATGTTTTGTTAATTTTTTGAATTATTTCAAACTGTGACCTCGCATTTTGGTTTTGACTATGCTAAGACGATTATTTAAATCAATTTTGTCCAAATTATGCATGATTTTAAACAATTGAATAAAATCTCCTCTTTCTCTTCTTTCCACCAAAGTTGTTAATGCTAATTTTTAAGACGATCTTCGTAAGCTAGGTTTCTTATAGATGGAACCTACTTTGTTGCTCTGTGCTGGACTCTTTCGATTACCTCGCTATCACCCTTAAGATCTGGGGACCAAACTGATACTGCAAACTCCAACTTATAATCAGATTTTCCAAAATATTTTTTTTATTCGATCAAGCATTTGGTATGCTTTGTTTGATGCTGTAATTACTTGGTTTTTCCAATTTTAAGTTAAAAGAAAAAAACCACTCCAAGATCTTTATCGGATTCAGATTCAGCAAGGAGTACCTATTCCATTTATTTATATACAGAGGTCATTTTTTATTATCTGATCCGTAGTGCATTTTTCAATATTGAACCGTAGAAGCCAGTCTTGTATCTACTTAAAGGCCTCATTCAAATCAGATTGAAGTTCGACTACATCGTTATCTGGCGATGCTGCTCTCATGATTTTGGTATCATCTGCAAAGAGTTTTATATTTTCAGATTAGTTGGTAAGTCATTGATGTAGAAAACTGAGTAGACATTTTCTACAACAAAATCAAAGGACAAAATTAGATGACCTGAGTTATATTACCGAGAACAAAAATTGGATCTACTGAATATATGTTTCCTGATTCTGTTGTAAAAATCAAATCCAAAATGTTCTCTGTTACACCATTAAACTTTTGAAATGTTGGTACGTTAGCATGTTGATAGAGGAACGTGTCGTTAATTATGTTGCTAAATTTGTGTTCAATGCCACTGACATATTTAATTGTTGTGATTGACTAATTTAACCATTCTATTGATGGGAAATTAAAATCTCTCATTATCAGAATATCTATAAAGCCCTTATTTATAAAGTAATATCTTCTTCAAAATCAATCACATCTACAAAATAATCTGGCTTATAGATATACCCCACCAAATATTTACCATGATAAAGACAAATAACTGCCCATACCTTTTTGATTTCATTTTGCTCCTGTTGCAAACAGCATCATTGATTTCATAAGAGTTGACAGATGAACAGACACACTCCGCCACCACTACGTCTATCACTTTTATCTTTTCTATATATATTAAAGTTGTTTATATGAACATTTGAGCTATCTTTAAACCATGTTTCACTTACACCAATAACCGATGGATTATACGTTTCAACAACAACTCTGAATTCATTCAATTTATTATCTAAAGAAGTAGCATTTAAATACATACAGTTTAGGGTGTTGTGTCGGTTTAAAAAACCTGTTCTATCATAAGTTGAATTTAAATTAATGAAGTATCCTGGGTCTCTACACCTGATTTCCAAGGATGCCATATCAAAAGGACGAGTCTGCACCAAGTTCTGCATACAATCTGTTTTATTTCTGTTTCAATTTATAATCCAGTTGTCTTTCCGCTTCTGACAAATCTGGACTAATGTAAACAGATTTGAATTTGCCAAAGTCTCTCAATTTTTTTAGCTGCCAAGAAGACGGGATTCCTGATAGCAGCATCAGACAAATAAGCCAATAATGGCCCAGGATTTGTTGGGTCTTTTGATCTCAATCTTCTTGAGTATGCGACTGAAACGTCAGATTTATTTATAGCCTTGAAAATCTCTCTAATTTTGGTTTCGTCATGTGCTTTTTTATCTGTCAGATTTGAGGCAGATGATTCTGGTACTCCGTAGATAACAACATTTTTTTTTTCTTTTTTATAGTGGTGTTGGTCACTACTAACTGATCTACAGGCTTTTTTTTACACTTTTTGCACCTCTGGTGACCACATCAACCCATTCAGTACTGATAAAAGGTTTTGCTATCTTTTTTGCCGATTCGAGGCCCGTCTTCAATCTTTCGATTTCTAATAAATTCTTCTTATCTCTTGCCTTCAACTGTTTCACTCTGTCGATTAGCAAAGAAAGCAGTTGCGACATCTTTCCGCACCGTTCGCGCAATCTTTTGACTGGTTTACTGGCTGTATTGTCCATCTTCGGCCAGTTCTCTTCTCTCAAAAGTCGAGATCAATGTCTGAAATCGAGGACAAAATTTAAAGAAGAATTTTATCTGAACAAAGCCACGTAAGAATTCAGCTAATCAAAACCACGTGTCAAAATCACATGTCAACTAAACTTTAAAAAAATAAATTATCAATAATTCAGAATTTTAACCACAAATTATATATTATTGTAATCATGAAATTAAAAGCAATCAGTACAGTCAACTTTATACAACAAAAATTTTTTTACAATAAATTTACGTCAAAATTAAAATCTATTAACGCTTGTGTACATATAGATAAATACAATAAATTCTGGAATTAATAAAATAGAGGTTTGGCTTCATTTTGGGTTTACCCAGTACCGATCTAAGATTTTGCCTTCAGTTTGTATGAAAGATGAAATTTTTATGGAAAGTTTTTCATTTTTTTTAAAATTTTGGTACAATTTTTTGTCAAATTTGGTTGAAACATTGACAGAAAATGCTTTGGCATGTATAGCCGATTGGGTGGTGTCAACAGTGTACTACAACATTGATAGTGAGGTATGCAGCGATAGCCTCAACACTCAAACCAGAAATGAGAATCGCACTTGTTATCTGCTATCACTAAAAGATATGGGTGTTTATTGTTACCGCTCTGTTGGTGTTATTAAGGTTAGCAAATGATCTTACTATTATTTTTTGTAAATGTGGGTGCAATGATAAATTTTATATATAAAAACAATGAGATTTAACATAGTTAAACAATGCCAATTTTTATTTAATATTTTTAAGATCTGAGCAATTGCCGAGAAAAAATTAAAAAAAATGGGAGCAGAGAGAACTGTTGAGTTTGATGAATTCATCTGCAGGGCTAAAATTGAAATGTTTGTGAATGATATTTTGAATCATGGCCAACATATAATAGAAACGAAACGATGGATGGAATATATATTGTCATTTAGATTATGTAATTGTTTTAATTTATCATTTAATACTTAACTATTACACGAGCACAATGAAAGTTGAGTTGCAGAATTTGTGGAGAAGAAAAAATTTTACTAGGTTAATATTATATTTTGGATTATAACATTGCATAAATTAATTTTGTTTTCTTTTTTTCCTTAATGCTTAATTCTTCATTATGATGGGAATTTAATATTATTTTATGGATTACGACCACAAATCATATTTATTTGTTATATAGTAGTATGTATGACATTTTATTAAGAACGTATTATATATTTCACGTTTTGCAATTTTTTGTATGTTTTTCCCAATAGTTTGTATTTGTGTGAATTGTTTCCATTTATATAGTCAAGATTATATATTTTTTACTTTTTCCTATTTTTATTTTTTTATTGCTTTGCGTTTGTACAAATTTTGTCCGTGTATATGTGCATCCAAGGAGAAAAGTATATTTTGTATCATTATTATATTTTTTATTATGCATCAATTTTCATTAATGCATTACATATCATTAAATCAATCAATTAAAAAATAAATAAACAAATAAATAAATTATTGATTTTTCCACTTATCTTCTTCAAATTCTTATTTTTGATTATAATTTTTTAATAGTTTTGTTAAATAACTTATTTATTAATGGCAATAAGATCACTTGATTGAATGGTTACCTACACCAGCTTTACAAACTGAACAGGGCCATCGTCCAGTAGCTGTGGATTGGATGGGTTCACCAGTGTTCATTGCTTTGGTTTTGCTGATGTTGACTTTGAATCCATGATCGGCAAGTCTGGTGTTCCAATCTTCAAACATCTGTGCTGTATTCTGCTCATACGTGGCTGTTATAACGATATCATCAGCATATACTAGATTCCAAATGTCACCAGTGCTTATCGGTTTTGTGATTTCTTCCATCACAGTTATAAATAACAGTGGACTGAGAATCGAGCCTTGGTGAACTCCAACGCCGATGTCAAATGCATCTGTGTTTCCAACCGTTGTGCTGATAAAAGTCTTAGTATTCGTATACATTTCCATCACAAGTCGAACAAGATATTCTGGAATGAATTGTCGACGTAGACTCCACCTGAACCTGTTTGCTTCTCCGATATGATGAACAGTTCAATGGATCACCTTTGTCTTCGTATAGCGGGACTGTCATGCTATAGTTCCATTCAGTCAGCATTAAACAATTTCTCCAAATTTCACGGCAAAGTGTAGTAACGTTAGGATATCTGCAGTACCAGATGCTTTGATAATGTCATTTGTGAGTCCAGAAGGCCCTGCTGCCTTTCCATCCTTCATAGCTTTCAGAGCTTCTGTAAGCTCCTCTAAAGTGATGTCTGGAATCGGACCTTCGATGGGTGGAGCGTCAAAGTTAACATTGATGGGATTTGTTTTGTTTAACAGACGATTGAAGTATTCTCTCTACTGTAGCTTGATCTCATCTTGTTCAAGAACCATCTCATTTTTGTCGTTTTTGATACATGAGGCACCAACTATGTCTTTTTTTGTACGCTTTGCTTGTTTTGCTATACGATACAGAGATTTCATTTGTTCACCTTTGTTTTTAGTGAGCCACTCTCTGCACTGATCTGTCCGAGCCAGTGCAACTTGACGTTTTGCATAGTTGTTCTTCTCACGGAAAATTTTATGGTCATCAACAGACTTTGATTTTTGCCATTGCTTGTATGCAACTTTCTTTTCAGCTATTGCATTTTGTACACTGTCATTCCACCACCAAGTGTCACGTTCATGCTGACGTTTTGTACCAGTTTTCCCACAAACTGTAGTTGCAGCGTTCATTAAAACGGTTTTGTATGTACTCCAATCTGTACTGGCTTGCGATTGGTGGTCTAACTGTGTGGCGACAATCTGTTGAAATTTTTCTCGATGAATATTGCTTTTCAGCTTCCACGTTTTGATTCTCCGAGGCATTTGTTTAGACTTATGTTTTGACAGTTCGACAACCAGGAATGCCACAAGGAGTCTATGTTGGCGACACATGATTCGCCAGGTATAACTTTGACGTTTTTGAATAGCCTTCGGTGTTGTTGCTTGACAGCGAAGAAATCAATTTGCGTTGCTGATGGTCCACTTTTGTATGTTATGAGATGTTCCAACCTCTTTCTAAAATATGTGTTCAGTAACAAAACTCGTGACTTTCAGCAAACTCAAGGATGCGGTTGCCATCTTCATTCCGTTTTCCATAGCCAAAACCACCATGTACGTTGTCAAAACCATCTGTTTTTTCTCCAACGTGGCCATTGAGATTGCCTCCAATCAGGATTGTTTCAGATTTTGGTATTGTTGAGATGGTGTCAAAGAATGCAGTCCAGAAGTCATTTTTCATCTCTTCTGATTCGCCTGTCTGTGGTGCGTATGCAGAAAAAATAATCATTGTTTGCTTTTCTATGCGAAGCTTGATCAACATGAGACGTGAATTAATCCTTTTAATATCCAGTACTTCTTGGGCTAGCGGTTCTCTGACAAAAATTCCAACACCATTTTTGGTCGTCTTTTGACCATTCCAGAATAGTTTATATTTTTCTTTGTCTGAGTTGACATGACAGACACCATTCGATTTCCATCGGGTTTCCTGAAGGCAGCAGATGTCAATCCTTCTACACTCGAGCATTTCTGCGATTTCCAGTCAGTGATCCAACATTGAGCGTTCCAAGTCTAAGTACCATAGAGAGGCCATTCTGAATTTTTCTGCAACATCCCTCCGCTATTGCATACTTCCCAGGGATTCTTGGCACCCCTTGACCACTTAAGGCCTGCTGGGGACTAGGGGCCGTTGTTTTCTTTGTGATGGCATAGGAATAATTTGGGGAAACTTTTTTACATCCGGACACCCATCCTGACGACAACCACCAGTTATAAGCGGTGGGCCTAGCTTTTCGCTCAAAAGCACGCAAGGCAGCGTAGATGCAGTTTCATGTCATACCCAGGACGTTAATTAGAAAAACAATTACATTGTCAGATTTCAAGTGTTTTTAGTATTTTTTTTATTTAGCAGTGATAATAAGATGAAATTTCGATGCAAAAAATTAAATCTTTTTTTGGAATTCCGAACCTGTAGTCGGATTTGTTTGAGGGACTTGAGTCGGAAACGCACACTGGTTTTCGATAGATTTCAAAAAATTAAAGTTTACTGCTACCCAAAATATTTAGGCAAAATTTTCAATTATTTATATACGAAAAAAAAAAATTCTAATGTTTATATATGCAGAAAATGAAGTATGGGTGACAGGGACTGCATTGCACTGGTCAATCCGTAAAGACAAACAATGACAAATTTCCCATCCTCACTGGCGAGTACCAACCTAGTTATTTATATGGTAACGTTAAAACTCATAAATCCAATAATCCTCTACGACCAATCATTAGCCAAATATCAACTGTTACATATCCAATTGCAAAAATACTCAACAAAATACTTCTACCATACCTTCCAGACAACTACAATTTTAAACCATCAAAGGAGTTTATTGATATATTGAATACTAATCCATCATCCGAACATATCGCATCACTTGATGTCGAATCCCTATTTACAAATGTTCTTGTCAAAGGTACTATAACTAAAACAGTTTATAATTCACAATATTTACCATAAAAAATTCCAAAAAAATACTTGAAACAATTATAAAAAATTTGTACAACAAAAGCACCATTCATCAGCCCTACCAGTAAACTTTATAGACAGATTGATGAAATTGCCATGGGATCCCCTTTAGGCGTTCTCTTTGCTAATTTCTATCTTGGTAACCTAGAGGAAGTAACCTTCAACCAACATCCTGAGCTTAAACCCAACATCTACACAAGATATGTTGATGATATTTTTGTATCTTATAACGATCCTAATCTAATCGACAATTCATTAAAAATATTCAATAAATTCAAACTAAAATTTACCATTGAATATGGAAGTGATAAAAAACTCCCTTTTCTCGACGTTTTTGTCACTCGCAACGAACACAACTTTCAAACCTCCGCCCTTATTAATGGTACTAATAAAGTAATGTTTAAACGGAAGTAGTGAATGTACTGATGAATATAAATTGAGTAGTGTAAGATCATTCATCAATCGCGCCTTCACACACTCCTCATTCCCAGACGACGTTTCATCAGAAATCAAATGTTTCAAATCTTCTTATAAATAATAATTACAGCGTAGATCTAATTAAAAATGTCATCAATAAAAAGTTACAACGTACGAACCAAAACAACAACAACAATAATAATAATATTGACAACATTATCAACAATAAACATAAAGGCAATAGCAATAACAACAACAATAATAACAACGATAATAATAACAACGATAATAATAAATGCAACGGTAATTACATTAATAACAATAACAACAACCAACGGCAATTATATTAACAATATTAATAACAATAACAACAACGATAATAATATTAACAACAACAATTGTAATGACATTAACCACAACAGCAATAACAACAACAATAATAATAACAACAACAATAACAACAACGATAATGCCATTGACACAAACAACATCAACAACAACAATAACAATAGTAATAATAACAACACCATTATACTAAATCTAAATTTCATGTCTTCGTCCTGCAAAACTGATAAAAAGATCATGAAGAAGATAATCCATAATAATATTAAACCAACTAACCCGAACGATAAAATAAAATTAAGCATCTTTTACAAAAACTACAAAACATCTAACTTTTTAATTTTGAATAATTGCCTACCTCACAACACTCCCCTTTTGAAACGTAATCATTCCATAAATAATTTTTTTTATTATTCTTTAAAAATCAGGATCTGACAGACGCAGAAACTGTTGCCACATGCAAGGCAGTAGTACCAAATTAAACAAATAAGCAAATAAAAAAACGGAGAAAGAAATATGTTTTAACATAAAAAATAAAATAAAATGGAACAAAATAAATAATAATAATAAAATAAATTGAAAATAAAATGAAGTAATGACATAAAAAGGCAAATTGCACTATTTATTCCAGATCACATGACCTAGCAGATCTAGTTTCAAATACCAACAGATCCTTATCAAATTTATTTCACTGGACAACCTTAAATCAGATCGATCAACTTCAAAAAAACAAATTTCATGATATTTCCGAACAAAAAAACCTGCCGTATAGATAATTTTCCAGTAATTATTAATGAAATCCCTATTCAAAAGGTAGACACCTTCCGATTACTGGGAGTTTATATTGATGATAAATTAAATTACGAGAAACAAGTCTGGGAATGTGCAAATTCAACAACGATAAATAAGTTATTTTCGAGTCAAAAAAGATTGGTCGCGTATCTATTTCGGAAGATCTTTTTTTATATCAAATATAAACATTTTCAATGAGAATAACATTTTAACAATAGTTGAAATTAATTCATATAAATCCTGTCTATATTGTATATATATAATTGTTAATTAATAAGATTATTTTTACTTCTGACAATCACTTACAACAAACTCTTACATTTTCCAAAAACAACATTTCGTCTAGGCATAATAACAAACTATTAATTAACACTATTAATTAAAGATAAATTTTTTGGAAGAAATTTCTGTTTTTATGGTCCGGTCCATTGGAATAAACTGCCTTTCTATATTAAATCTAATGTAATTTATAATTCTTTCAAAAAACAATTGAAAACATATTACATATTTTTATGCTGTTCATAACGTAAATTGTTTCATTTTATTTCATAATTATAATATTGACTCAATTTCTCTTTTTTTTGTTATCCCTAATTTTTAATTTCATTTCAATTATTCTAGATATATATGTATTGCTTAATTTTTCAGTTGATATTTTTATTTTTGGTTATGTGTAAATTCTATTGAATTAGTTGAGATTTATTCTGTTCATGAGGCCATCCATAAATTAGTATTTTATTGCTAGGATGGACCTTTTTACTTTTGTAAATAAAACTGTTAAAAAAAATAGACTAGATGATGACTTAGTGAGTTAGTGAGGTGATCGATAAAAAAAACTAGTGTGGATGATAAAGTTTTATTGAGTGTTAATATTTTTGAGGTGTCTTGCGATGAATGATATGTAGATTGGGTGGCGACTTGATAGTAATGTTTGCGCTGACGAAAGTTGTGTGTTGTAGTTTTAATTGGTGGTAGTAGATGATGGATGACGTGGTTGTTGTTATTTTCTACTTTCTTGAACAGTCTTGAATCGAGTGTGTTGAATATCTCAGTGACGGTAGGATATGATGCAGATAGATAGTTGAAGCGGATTAGTTTTTTGATGAGAGATTGTAGTTGCTGAAGTTGTTGTTATGTAGCAAAACCAGACCAGGAGGGAGCTGCATATTTGATACGTGAGATTATGAGTGATTCAGTGATGTCGAATAATTTGGTGCCTCTGAGACCATGTGAGCGGAGTGTTTTGAGTGCGTAAAATGTTTGAAAACCTTTTGTGATGATGTGGTTGATATGAGGTGCTACATTAAGTGTGGAGGTGAATGTGATGCCTAATATTTTTATTAATTGACTTGTTATTTTTTTACGGCTATTGTGAATGATGAGTTCAAATAATTTATTGAAATTAAGTGACAGAGAGCATCGTTTTGATCATGTAGTTAATGAGTCGAGTTCTGATTGGATGGTGTTTGAGCTAGATGATGGGATGATAAGGTAGGTGTCGTCAGCGTCTGTGATGATGTGATTAGAGCTTTGAAAAATTCTTTTCTTGTCCTCTTGACGACTGTGTACCTCTTCAATCTTCCTATATAAGAATGACTACTACAACACTATAGCGTACACTTACTATGCACAAAAGAGACGGTGCAATAAAAAACCATCTTGAAACTTTCCACAACACCCCAATAACTAGGAACCTTCTAGATAACAACACAAAAATTCTATACACCAATCAACAGCACTACAACCTAAGAATTGCAGAAGCCATTTTTATCGAATCTGAAAAACCTTCTATCAACGAATCACAACAACACTTCCAACTCGAAGAATTAACAACAATAACGTTAATCGGATCAACCAGCAATCTAGCAATGATGATAATAACAATAACGATAATAACAACAACACCATCAACAGCAACAACAACAATAATTATAAAAACTATAATTTTTTTTAAACATTTTATTTCATTTCAACCTCCTCGCGCTAAAAACAACAATAATAACAATAGCAATAATAATAATAATAATTATGTAAACTCTTTTATTATTCAGAGAAAACCAGTAAAATCAAAAATAATCAAAATAAAATATCAGTCCAATTTATATTGATTAGAGACAGAATAAAAGGATTATAAAAACCTATAGGCGATATTTCAAAAGTTTTAATTAAAATATTGAAATGTTTAAAATCATCTACAATGTTATTTTTTAAATTATTTAAGTATTTATTCATTTTATATTGTTTTGATTTCATGAAGTTGTTTCATGGCACACGGTCAGTTCGAGTATTTCAATAGTATCTTTGTTACAGACTGCGATGTCGGGTCGCAGTGATTTGAACAGATCCGTTACTGGACGCGCCAAATCTTTTTCCACGTCTGCAAATATTTCAATACCCGGCCTTGCATTTGCTTTTATGTTATCAATAATTATTGTGAGAATTTTGTTGTGGCGGTTTAAATATCTGCTCAGTGCAGAGGCGGAGCCACAATTTGATAGGACATGTTTGTTTGTTTGTACTGCATTACAAAGCAAACATGATGCTTTAGTAGATTAACCCCACCTGAAGAGGTTAGCATTAGTAGGTAGCTGTTGAATAAGATATTTTCTGGTGAATTTATAGAGGACCTCTGATAGTTTTACAGTTGACCTAGACCATCGTGTTATCTCGGAGCTATTGATATGCTTTTTTATTGACCTCACAAGAGCACCTTGGCATCGCAACAGCAATAGATGATTGAAATTCGTTTTATATTGTTGTTGTTGTAGGGCATTTATTGCTGATTTAATTCCATCATTTTTTGGAATGAGGTCGTCAATCTTTCTGTAGGAGTTATCAGATTCATTCCACAGCAGTCTTATTTCCTCGCTGGCGTTTAGCTTGAGATACCCACGGAGTTTTAATCTTAATAACACGGCGTGTTGTTTCAGCGATTTGATGTTGAGGCCCCCAGTTTTATACGGCATCGAGATAACTTCAGCGATGCAACTGCTTATGGGCACAGACAGCCATTCTCTTACTGCCTCTATTATAAGGCGGTCCAGAGTGCATTCTATCCAGATCAGCGACATATCATAGGTTCGTAATTCAAATGTTATTTGAGAGGGGATAAAACGTCTGAGAATTTCTAGCTTCCATTGAGCAGTTGTGTCCAGTTCTCCAATTTTCTGCAGCAAAATTTTGAGTTTATTACATAATTCATTTTTCTCTCTGGTGTTTTTGCCTTCAAAATCGTACATTATTCCCAAGTATTTAAATTGATCGTTGATATTCACATGGGGAATTTTTTCATCGTTTATTGTTAATTGGGGTAGAAATTGTTCATATTTTCCATTGATTTTTCTCATTCCAAATGTACTACATTTATCTATACTCATTTTCATACCCGTCTATTTACACCAGGCTTGGTTGAGATCGATCAACTTCTGGGCACCCTCAGAACTGCTAGCAATGATTGCTGAGTCGTCAGCAAATTGAAGCCAACTCCTAGATTTTAGTTTGGCTGTAGGTCCCCATATATATCCGCACTGCTGGTATTTCTTTGCTTCGACTATTTTCATCAGAGGATTAAAACAAAGATTGAAGAGCAATGAAGAGCTCGGGTCACCTTGTAGGACCCCCATTTTTACTTGGATAGGTGAGGTTAGTTTGTTGCACACCGATACAGTTATCGAGTAGTCGGCGTATATTGATCTAATCATGTTGCTGATCTGACTTGGGATGTGGTGATAACTTAAAGCAGATGAAATTAGATCATGGCTAACCTCACCAAAAGCATTTCGTAAATCTAATAGGGTAACAATAATTGTTCTCTGATATCTTTTGGCGTCTTTCAGCAGATGAGACAGCAGCTGCGTGTGTTCAACTACACCATCAACTTTGGTATAGAAACCCTTTTGAATATTTTTATTGATGAAATTATTTGAATCCAGATATTTGTATATTCTATTGTTTATGAACGTGGAGAATATTTTAAAGAATACTGGTTGAAGTGTTATTGGCCTGAAATTCGCTGGGTCGTTGGCATCTCCCTTTTTGTAAATCAGAATTGTCAGCCCTTTTCTCCAGCAGGAGGGAATTGATGACGTTCTCCAACATTCAACCAGTAACTGATAAAGGATTGTGCGGAATATTGGACACTTTTTGAGAACTATTACTGACATCTGGTCCAAAGGGCAAGGAGATGCTCTCGACTTGCATTTCCGGATAATTGAAGAGATTTCATTATACGTGGGAGGATTGGTATCACAGGCTATTGAAGGGTTTGGTAATGTTTTAATCCAATTTGGTAGGGAATGTTTATTGCAAGATTGATCGTTTAAAATGTTGTTGAAAAATTGTTTACATTTGTCGACGCCAAACTGAGGTAGCAAATTAGGCGTCGGGTTGAATAATTTTTCATACGTTGCCCAAAATTTGTGTTTTAGTTGGTTTGTGATATTGAGTGTTTTTTCAAGTTTATTTCGTTTTGTTGATGCTATCCTTGATCTTATTTGTTTGCTTAGCGTTTTAATTTGAAGGTCGAAGTTGTGGTTGTTACGGCCTAGCAGCTTTAGTTGTTTCAGTTCCTTCTTTAGTTTGTTGATTGGTTTGTCGGATATTGTTGTTGAATTTGTTTGTTGTTTAATTGTGCCGTAGGTTGAAGCAAAGTAGTTGTATATTGATGACTGGAAATTGATGGTGAAGTTATCAATGTCGGTGATGTTTGGTAGAGCTGATTTTTGAGAATGGAAGTATGCGTTGGCCTCAGACCATTGAGTTGTTGTTTTAGGTAACTTTATCCCTGGAAGTGGAGTATCTTTTATGACGGTATTTGTTGACGATGACGACGACGGAGATGTCACCTGGTGAAGCGGGGACGATGGTAGTGGTATCTCTGCCGCGGCGACACCCGCTGACGACGTCGATGGAGTCGCTCGATGGTGAGGCGGAAGTGATAGTTGTGGTAATTCTGCGGTGGTAGTGTTTGATGGTGTCAAAATGATGAAATCTTCGTTAGGGTCCTTTGGAGAATTTATCGAATTATTTAAATTTTTGAATGTTTTGCACGAACGTTGGTGCATTCTTAGGCCCTTTTTTACCTTTGCACTGTTTACCACAACAACAGGAAATTAGATTATTATCCATGTTAACAGAATTATCAACCAGTAAGTTTGGAGATATTACAATATTGTTGCTTTGTAAACGTACATTGTTATTATTGTTGCTGCTTTGAGCTGATTTTGTACAACGCCAGGAATGCCTGCTGAGTTTTTAAAACAGTATGGGCATTTAGTTGCATTTACTAATAAGATTGATTTAAAAATTAAATATTTAATTAAAAATTAAATCAAATAATTAAATATTTGAAATTAGAGTTATTTAGTATTAATTTATTCGCCATAATTTTCCGCTACTTTTAAACCTATTTTTACACTGTAAAACTATGTAAAACTCGATTAATGTAAATAAAAACAGTGAGCTAGCAAAAACCTGCCATTTCTCATGTTACAAATACATAATCATATAATATTAATAATAATAATAATGGTGTTAAAAAAATGTTTTTATATTGTAATCAAGTAATCCGCTCATACTCATTGTCGATGTAAGTGTATGTGCGTTGGGAGTATATTCGAATACCATTACACGTTGTTTCTTTCACAGTATATTGTGTAAGACGAGCTAAGGACAATGCTCATTAATTTAAAATTAAAATTAGATGGCCATGAAAATTTAAATAATGACAAATTAAATTTATTATAAAGCCCAACAGGCGACATTTCAAATGAGTTCATTATTACAGAATAGTTAGAATATTCTTTGTTTAAGCATTTTTGCAAGTTAATATATTTTTGGTGTTTATATTGTTTAGAAGAAAATAAATTAGTTTCATGGCATATTGTCAATTACAATATTTCAATCTTGTTGCCTCTCAAAATGGTAATTTCAGGATGTGACGTTGGTCGTATGCCTTCCATCTCCAAGTTTGCAAACAAGCAGCAGTCGTTAGGAGCCTGTAGCTTCACTTCATCCATGATCAACGCTAGTATTTTATCATGTCTGCCTGTGTATCTCTTCAAAGCCGAAGCTGATCCACAACTTGATACGACGTGCTTATTTGTTTGACGAACATTACGAAGTGGGCATTAGGGTGGAGCGAATTTATACATAAAAAAATTTTTTTCTTCTTTTTACTTTTCCTGGGGTTGGGAAATATGTCTTTTATCGAGTTATTTCAATGTGTAAATTTTGAATTTTATTGAACATTGTTTTGAGGTTCCTCTCGGCTGGAGACTGTTTATGAATTGCATTTCAAAAGTAAACAAAACAATATCATCAAATTAAACATGTTATTAACTCAAATAAATCATTTAAATCTTGAAAAACAAAACATTAGTGTTTACTAGTTCACATCAAAGACTTAAATAATGAAGTGTTTTTTAGTTTCAAATTTTGGTATATCATTTTGAGATGCAAGTTTAGTACGAATAAAGCCATCTCTTGCTTTTTCTCCACAAACTGAAAGTGACGCTTCTGTAACTAATTTTATCATTCTTTCTACTGCCTGAGTATGGCAAGGCAACTTCAAAAATTCAATGTTATTAGGAATATCCATTATCATCTGTTCTAAAGCTTCAGTTGTGATATCTTTTGTAAGGGGTGGCTCTGTGATCTCGGTTGCATGCCAATCGAGCATGTCGTAATAGTTGATCGCATCAAAGTTTAGCTTTGGAACTTG